GACAAGGAAGGGCATTCCTAAGCAAGGTCTGAAGCTGTGTGGTACCTCAAGTACCTGGGAGAAAGCACCAAGGAGATGGGTGGAGAACTGGCAGCATGAGTTCTGCTAATGTAGAGGCTCAGGTGTCAGACTGGAGCTTTCAGTTTGCAGCATTGACAAGTCACAGTAGGATTTCAAGCAGAGGACATGAACTCACGAATGTGCATTTAAAAAAATAAGTAAGTAAAATAAAAATAAAAAGACCTCATTATTCCCCAACTAACCAGTTAAAACATTCTCTCTCTCTCTCTCTCTCTCTCTCTCTCTCTCTCTCTCTGTGTGTGTGTAGTGCAAATAAACATTATTCAGGTGTGTGTGTACAAGAGAAGTCAATCTCTTCTTGGAAAGGGGCAAGGAGGAGATGAGGGAGGGTGGGATTGGGAGGGAATGACGGAGGGGGATATGGCTGGGATACAAAGTAAATAACCTGTGATTAATATAAAAAATTAAAATTATTTTTTAAAAGAAGAGTGCTTAGCTTTGATTTCCAAAGTGGTTGTACAAGTTTACATTCCCACCAGCAATGGAGGAGGATTCCTCTTTCTCCATATTCTCTCCAGCATGTGTTCTAAGTGGATACTAGACCTATAAGATAGGATAAGCATACTAAAATCTGTACACCTAAAGAAGATAAACTTCTTCTGAGAATTGCTGCATCAATTCTCAGGATGCTTTACACCATGGTTTTTAAGATGGCGTCATGATTTTTGGTTTGGTTTGTGTTTAGAAAGAGTCTCAGTATGTAGACCCTCATTATGCTGGCCTGGAATTCATTACATAGACCAGGTTTGTTTTGAATATACAAAAATCTGTTTCTGATTTCTGTGAAACTCCTCACATTTGTATCACAATGTACCAAATAAATTACTAACTCAAACCTAGACTTTATTAAGCTTCATATATATATATATATATATGTATATATATATATATATATATATATATATATATATATATATATATATTTGAAAGCCAGAGATGGTGGATCACTACAAGGAAAGCTTCCAGACACAAGAAGGTACTTGTGCATATGAATTCATAGCAATTGAGACAACCTGCACAAGACCTGTACAAGTTCAAGCCACATATAATCCCAGCATGGAAAGAGAAGGTGGACATGACATCCCACCCCTAGCTAATGAGCTATTGGAAATTAATAAATGCTGAGAAAATAATTTTCTTTTAAGGATGTGGCCCATACCAGGTCTACCACAGTCTAGTCGAAAACCCTACATTTAAGAGTACATTAACTTCTCTTTTTAGTTACAATTTGTTAACTCTGTGTCCCAGCTGTATCCCGCTCCCTCATTCTCTCCCCCTCCCCAACTCCCTCCCTGGTCTCCTCCCTGCCCATTTCCAAGTCCACTGATAGGGGAGGACCTCCTCCCCTTTCATTTGACCCTGTTTTATTAGGTATCTTCAAGGCTGGCAGCAAAGTCCTCCTCTGTGGCCTAACAGGACTGCTCCTCCCATGGGGGGGGGTTAAAGAGCCTGCCCTTGAGATCCTGTTAGAAATAGTCCTTGTTCCCCTTACTTTGGAAAACTACTTGGTTACTGAGCTACCACGGGCCACATCTGAGCAGAAGTTCTATGTTGTATCCATAGATGGTCCTTGGTTGAGTGTCAATCTCAGAAAAGACCCTGTGCCCAGATATATGAGGCTTCAAGTGAAGACTAGAGGCCGTTGTGTTATACTTTGTGTTATATATGGTGCGTTCTGCTCATATCCTAAAAATTTGAGTGACATTCATTTCAAAGGGAGAGGACAAATTTATTTGGTAGAAGAAATTCAAGACATTACAACATTTAGGCTGTGATATGACACTCATTTCCTGTATCTTAATCAGATTTTTTATAGTAATAAAGTCATATTTATTGAAAAAAAAAGAGTACATTAACATCACAAATTAGACTTGATGTGTTTAAAATAAAAAAAAAGATAAAAAGTTGGGCATGTAGGGAAGTGGAGTGGATTTGAGAAGACTTGCAGGAGAGGGTTTGAATATCATCAACATTCATTGTAGAAATTCTCAAGATACTATTAGAAAGATTTAAAGTTTCATACATGTATAGAATATATCTATCCACCACTACCTCAGTCTAACTCTCCCTAGTATATTCCACCCTCTCTCCCTCCTAGCATTATGTCTTACTATGCATACATTTAGTACTACCCATTTGTGCATAAGTATGTGGTCATCTGCTGGGGTATGAACAACCTACCAGTGGCCAACTCCACAAGGGAGAGTTACTGTCTCTCCCTCAACACCCATCAACTGCTTACAGCTCCTCAGATAGGGATGGGTGCTCAGAATTTGAAATTTAAGAACAAATGTTGTATCAATTTCTGCATAGCAGCTAATATTTACTTCTTTTCCATACCCTGCAGGATGCCTGAAAGGGTTCTTTGGGAAGAACTGTAAAAGAAAATGCCAGTGTGCCAGCAGTGGCCATTGCCACAGGGTATATGGTACCTGTATATGTGACCCGGGGCGCTATGGAAGATTTTGTCATCTCAGTAAGTCATAGCCGTGGTTGCTCCCTATTCTAAGTACAGTGACTTAGAATAGTGTGGGGACAGATCAGTCAAAAGCAAAGAGAAAAAGAAAAAAAAAAAAGAAACCTGTTTCATCTGCTCACATAGACAAGGATTTTATCTGTTCTTAGGACTAGGTAAATTACAAAATCTGTATTTTGATGATTAAAAAAATATTTCCAAATTTTAAAAATTTCAATTTTTCTATTTTCTTAGTTATTAAATGAAAATTGTTAGAGTTTGTTGAAGTAAATACCTGTCACTTTGTAGGAGCTAAGTGTGAGGAGCCTAGACCATGTCTCTTTGTCTAGTACAAAACGCTATTACCCTTAAAATTCAGGACAGCTCTTCTGCTTGCATTTTGACCATGCATGCAAAAGGACATGATTACTAAAAATATCTGAGTCTTTAAGTTCAACTTCAGTTTCCACAGTTTCTCCCTGGAGTAACTCTGAAGGCACTTCCTCCCACCATGAAGCTAAGATCTCTTAACCGGAAGTGACCTCAACCCTTCCTGTTCCTTTCCTATCATCCTGCCTCTCATCTTGCTACTGAGGGACTGAGTCCTCTGAAGATTTGTCCTAATGAACATTGGTGTCTTGTCTGATTACCCTGCTATGACAGAATACCATAAAATGGATAGCTCATAAAAAGAGATGTATTTAATTCTAGAATCATAGGAATCTATGGGGCTTCTCAAGTATAATGCCTTATGATAGTTGGCTTTGTGATTCTTAGATATTGCCAGTCACTGATTCCTCCCCTTGGTAGGGACAAGAAAATATATTCTTAGAGTTCTTTATTAAAGCACAGATATTACATATAAAAACCCTACCTCCTGATCTAATGTTGCTAACGTCCCAACTTCAACAGTGTTGTCCAAAAGGATTAAGATTTTATGATAACCATTTTAGGAGGCTATTACCACTCACACTGCTGTTATCAAGATACTATGACCTTCTATAGTCTATATTTTATCTTCAGTTGAATGCTTATAGGACTTACATACTTAAGAAAAATGAATGTCTCTGGGGAAAAAAAAAAAACTATAATAAATTGTGAACATGCCAATAAGAGACCAAATAACTGCCTCACAGCAAACTGAGGGTGGATCATAAGAAAAGATTAGATATTGGTAAAGAAAGAAGAGAATGGAAGAGCACTATCAATAGCTGAATAGTCAGATGGTATGTTGTAGAATATCATTTATCTCCAGAGAAAAAAACTAGGCAAGAAACAAAGATAGAATCATTTCTGTTGTTGGCCCTGAAATATAGCAAGATATACCCAATATATTTTTTTTGAATATTTTATATGACAATATCAGATGTTTTAGCAGAAAAGTTAAATCAGTACATCTGGTCAGAAAGTTTGGGAAGCTCACTTTTCAGCAACAAAACTGACATTCTTACAATTTGGATACCAGGCTCACATATTTAGGTTCTCTTACCAACTGTGAAGAGTAAAGACTTGCTATAAAACTAGCAAACAAATTTGTTGTTTGTAGTGGTGGTGGCGATGCTGGCGGGGGTGGTTGTAGCAGTGGTAGTGCCGAGAGTGGCGATGGTGGTGGTAATGCTGGTCACCATCTTATGAAGAGTACACATGTCCTAGTTCCTCTGGGTATCCTTATGAGTGTCACATGACTAGACCTGAGGAACTCAAGTCCTACAATCCATCATTTATTTTTTTCTAGCCACACAAAGTTCTGTAGACAGAGTGCCTTAAAATAGAAATCCATTGTCTGACAGTTCTGGAAGCTGAGAGTCCAATTTCAAGGTGTCAGTGGATTCTGGTCCTTCTAAAGATGTTATGGAAGAATCTGTTTCAAGCCTATTTCCTCATGTAGGTAGTTCCTTCTATGGCATCATATTGCCCACCATGGTGCTTTCACCACAAGCAGGTCTCTGGCAAATCCCTCATGCTGTAAGCTCATTATATGTATTGAGTTAGAAACTCATCTATTTAAATACAACTTTGTCTTAACAAAATTTTAGGTCTTGAGAACTAAGACTTCAAAAGAGTGGTGGATGTTTAATCTCGATGCCTATCAAACTCTGAGCAGATACTGGATTACCCACAGAGATTCTTTCCACACTTTCTTTTTCTCCAAACTTGTTCTAGATTGAACAGAAAGGCCTAGAACAAGACAGACCATAAACTTGGGAAGTCTGATGCTGTTCGTGGAACTTAGAAGTCATTAAAAAAGATCACATCTTATCAAAACTCTAACCATTTTTGAAGAGTACACAGAACCCTGTTGATTTACTGTCTGGCTTTAAAGATTATTCTCACTATCCCTCGCAACTGGAACTGGTATATGTTTTGATCCACCATAACCACCACATTGAATGAACTCTGTTAATTTCACTTCCCATCCCCAGGGAAGCGCCACAACTCATTGCATTTTTTGCAGGTAGCATTCCATAGCAAAGACTGTCAGGGCACACCAAAAGATTACTGTGAGCCCAGGAGCACCTGAAAGCACATTTCATTTGAGAAGACTCTTAAACATTGATAAATAGAGAAACACAGTAATTGTCAGAGATATATTTTGGAAAGGGAATTGAGCTGTTCTGAGAGTTCAACAGAAAGAGTGGGAAAGAGGAAGTAAGGGAATACATGAACTATGGTATGCTGTCCTAAACATAAGGGCAGGCTGTTTTCAAGTTAGAATTTCAGTCCTGATTGCATCATCTCTAAAACTCAGTGGCCTGGGGAAAATAAAGATGACAGGACAAGCAGCTCTTGCCACAGACGTGGGCAAGATAATATCGCTGTCACAATAGAAGCTTTGTGTAATCTGTGAGATGTAAAATTATTTCCGATTACCATATAATGAGGGGGAGTAAGGACAATGGCCAACCTTCACATAAGTGCTTGTCCATCATCTTCAGGCTGCAGCAGGATGATGAGGGGCCTGGAAGCCAAAGCAGTCCTTGGAGAATATTAAGTCCAGGCAGCAATAGACCACATTTGAGAAGCAATCTCTCTCCCAGCATCACTGAGGCCTTTTAAGTAATTCAGGCTTCACTGTTCATGTCCAGTTGCCAAAAAAGCAAATGAATTGCCTGATTTGAAAGACATTTGTTCCCTCATTTTCTTGGCAGTCATGATGATCCCCTTATTCTCCTTATAATCAGGCCCAAAAGAATGTCGTGCCTATGGACTAACAATTTCAAATAAACAAAGCATGGTTTTCAGGTGACCACTTTGCTTCAATCTGCTTGCAGGTTGTCCCAGGGGGGGCCTATGGAGCTGGCTGCTCTTTGGAATGTCAGTGTGTGGAAGAGAACACCCTGGAATGCAATGCCAAAAATGGTAGTTGCACCTGCAAATCTGGTTACCAAGGCAACAGATGCCAGGAAGGTACACTCCAATGATGTATTTTTGTGCTTCTCCAATAGTAAATGATCAGTCTTTGGTCAGCATTATTTGGTCATTAATTAGTTAATTCACGCCAGTGTCCTAGGAGATATGGATGCTTTATTGATCCCCTCTTGCAGGTGAGAAAACTGAGACATGGGGACAATACAATTATTTAACCTTGTCTTCTTGGCCTCTGGTCCTAGCAGTCACCTTGCCAGCCTGAGCACAGGAAGATCAGACAGCTTATAGTTATATCTGGAAACAATAAAAGCTAGACAGCATAGACTCATCAACCAAGAACACGCCCTACTCCAGAATGAAAGACTTTTTCTATCTAAAAATCAGTCATCCAAACAAATTTGTTAATGATTCCTTAATATGGAGAATTTAAATACGGGTACCAGTGCTGTCATTTTTCTAATATCTAGGTGTTTCATAACTTTTAGATAAATCTATAAATAGAAAACTATGATTCCAATGATAAGTAATGAGTAGCTATGTGTGTAATTGCAAATGAAATATGGGGAAGTGATGTTCCAAACTGTCAGGATGTCATCCCTGGCTTGTACACTCTGGGAGTGCTTGTTCAGGTTTTGGGCATCTGGTCACCTTGTGACCATTCCACTTGTGCCACTTCTTTTTTCTTTCATTAATTTATTTGTTTGTTCATTTTGTATCCAATCACAACCCCACTTCCTCCTCTCCCTCCAGTCCCATGCTTCCACCTATTTCCTCCATACCATCCACCCTGGTGCCAGCCCACCCTGGCACATAAAGTCGCATCTGGACTAAGTGCCTCCTCTTTTACTGAAGCAAGAAGAGGCGGTCCTGCTAGGGAAATGTGACCCAGAGGGAAGGAAAAGACTCTTAGTCAGACACAACCTCTGGTCCAGTTGCTAGCAGACCCACTTGAGGACCAAGCAGCCCACTGGCTTCATATGTGTAGGGAACCTATGACTAGTCCATGTATTTTCTTTGGTTTGTGACTCAGTCTAATGAGCCCCAGTGGGCCCAGGTTAGTTGGCTATGTAGGTCTTCTTGTGGTGTTCATGACCCTTTCAGCCCCTTGAATCCTTCCCCTGACTCTTCCATAAGAGTCCCTGAGTTCTGCCTATTGTTTGGCTGTCGGTCTCTGCATCTGTTTCCATTATCTGCTTGATGCCTCTCAGATGACAGCTATGCTAGGCTCCTGTCTACAAGGCTGACAGAGTATCATTAATAGTGTCAAGGGTTGGGTCTCTCATATGGGGTGTTTCAAGCTGTGCCACTCCATTAACCTCTGTTCCAGCTTTTATTTCTGCACTTCTGGGCAGGACAAATTTTGGGTCAAGGGTTTTGTAGGTGGTTTGCCATGCTCCTTCCTCCACTGAAGTCCTACCTGGCTACAGGGTGTGGCCACTTCTTAAGAATGTAGTGTGCATTATTTGATCTGTTGCTGTTTAATTTTTTGGGTTTTTATATATTATGGATATTAATCCTCCGTTGGATGTAAGGTTAGTGAAGATCTTTTTACGATCTGTAGGCTGTCATTTTGTTCTATTGACAATGTCCTTTGCTTTACAGAAGGCTTTCAGTTTCATGAAGTCCCATTTATTAACTGTTGATCTTAGAACCTGAGCTGTTGGTATTCTGTTCAGGAAATTGCCTCCTGAGTGCCAATGAGTTCGAGGCTCTTCTCCTGTTTTACTTCCCACAGATTTAGTGTGTCTGGTTTTATGTTGAGATATTTGATCACTTAGACTTTAATTTTGTGCAGGGTGATAAATATGAATTTGCATTTTTCTACATGTAGACATCAAGTTATACCATTCTTTTTCCATTGTATGGATTTGGCTTATTTGTCAAAAGTCAGGTGTCTGTAGGTGTGTAGATCTATTTCTGGGTCTTCGATTTGAATCTATTGATCCACCAGTCTGTTTGTATACCAGTACCATCCAGAATATATAAAGAACTCAAGAAATTACACACCAACAAACCAAATAATCCAATTAAAAATGGGGTACAGAGCTAAAAAAAGAATTCTCAACAGAAGAATATCGAATAGTGGAGAAACACATAAAGAAATGCTTAACATCCTTAGTCATCAGGGAAAAGCAAATCAAAATGACTCTGAGATTTTCTCTAACACCCATCAGAATGGCTAAGATCAAAAACTCAAGTACAACATATCTGAGAGAAGATGTGGAGGAAGGGGAACCCTCCTTGACTGCTGGTGGGAGTACAAACTTGTACAATCACTTTGGAAATCAATCTGGTGCTTTCTCAGAAAATTGGGAATAGTGCTAACTCAAGAACCAGCTATATCACTCCTGGGCATATACCCGAAAGATGCTCTATCATACAACAAGGACATTTGCTCTACTATGTTGATAACAGCCTTATTCATAATAGCCAGAATCTAGAAACATCCTAGATGTCCCTCAACCAAAGAATGGATACAGAAATTGGGGCACATTGACACAATGGAATACCATTCAGACATTAAAAACAAGGAAATCAATGAAATTTGCAGGTAAATGGATGGAACTAGAAAAGATCATCCCAAGTGAGGTAACCCAGAAGCAGAAAGACACTCATGGTACATACTCAGTTATAAGTGGATATTAGACATATAATATAGGATAGACGTAATAAAATCTACAGACCTAAAGAAGCTAAACAACTGAGACTCATAAGCAAACCTTGGGCAGAGTGCAGGGAATCATATGAAAGAAGGGGAGTTAGTATGACCTGGAGAGAACAGGAGCTCCACAAGGACCAAATATATCTGGGCACAGAGGTCTTTTATGAGATTGTATCTCCAACCAAGGACCATATATGGATATAAGCTAGAACCTCTGTTTGGATGTAGCCCATGGTAGCTCAGTATCCAAGTGTGTTCCCTATTAAGGGGAACAGAGACTATTTCTGACATGAACTCAACGGCTGGCTCTTTGACTCTCCCCCTCCCCCTGACCCAAGGGAGGAGCAGCCTTGCTAGGCCACAGAAGAGGACAAGGCAGCCAGTCCTGAAGATACCTGATAAGCTAGGGTCGAATGAAAGGGGAGGAGGACCTCCTGTATCAGTGGACTTGGAAAGGGGCAGGGAGGAAATGAAGGAGGGAGGGTGAGATTGGGAGGGAATGAAGGAGGGGACTACAGCTGGGATACAAAGTTAATAAACTGTAACTAATTTAAAAAATAAAAATTTAATTAAAAAATAAGCTAAACAACAAAGAAGACCCTAGGGAGGATGCTTTCTCATTTAGAAGGCAAACAGGGTAGACCCCCGAAAGTTGTGGAAGAGAGACAACTGGAGACTACCATAGATATCCTCTGAAAGACTCCACCAAGCAGGAGATCAAAGCAGATGCTGAGAGTCATAGCCAAACTTTGGGAAAGCACAGGGTGTATTATGGAAGAAGGGAGGGATAGAAGAACGCAGAGGAGACAAGAGCTCCACAAGGAGACCCACAAAGCCAAAAAATCTGGCCCCAGAGCATCTAGCAGTGACTGATGCACTAACCAAGGACCATGTATGGAGAGGACACAGGCCCTCTGCTCAGATGTAGCCCATATGGCAGCTCAGGCTTCATGTGGTGTTCTAGTAAGGGGAGCAGGGGCTGTCTATGACATTAACTCAGTTGCCTGCTATTTGATCACTTCCCCCTGCAGGGCAGCCTTGCTAGGCCATAGAGGAAGAGGATCCAGGCAGTCCTGATGAGACTTGATAGGCTAGGGTCAGATAGTAGGGGAGGAGAATTCCCACTTTCAATGGACTAGGAGAAAGGGATGGGGAGATGAGAGAGGGAGAGTGAGACTAGGAGATGAGTGAGGCTCTTATTAGGATATAATGTTAATATATTTTAAAAAAATAAAAAAAAAGAATGCAGTGTGCAGCTTTCCTGGAGTTCTTGCCATATAGTATTTGTTGTTGCCATATAGTATTTCTCATCCTCTAATCTACCACATTCACCAGTTACTGTTGCAAATAATACTGACTGCCCATTCTCTTGCTAGAATCCATCATCCATGTAGGAAGGATATCTGCATTTTATTTTATTTTTTCTGTATTTCCTCACTCCTTCAATAATGGCACTAGTCAGCAAATCTTTTCTTAAATCAACACATAAATTTGTGTGGACTCATTTTCATTGTTTGCATTTTTCATTAAGTATTAGGTATTCTTATTCAGGGAAAAAAAATGTCACAGCCTTTTATGCTCTTGAGAAAGAACTGCATATGACAAATAAATGATGAGACCCAATGTTAACCTGTCTCATCATCTGCAACTAGAAGAAGACCCTAGGCTTAGATGGGAGACACATCAATGTTGAGTCCATTCACGGAAGCAGTGGGATTGAAACTTGTCTTAGAATACCGCTAATAACCCATTTAGAGTGCATCCTGTCCTGTGACTATAAATCTGTAGCATGTGAGCAAGCCAAGCAGGCTATTTTAGTGGCTGGATTGTGACTTCCTAAGTAATAAAGAAAGGAACTTGAGGAAACCCTAGTTCAAATGCAAATGTGACACAAGAGTGGGTCCATGCCACCCTCTTGGTCTCTACTTTGCTTTTTTGTTGTTGTTGTTCTTAAAATAACATGTTTATTGAATAAACTGTGAAGTTATCTTTCATTCTGTTTCATTTATGTGTTTTGTTAAGGGCTTGTCACATTAAAGGATCCAGAAAATTATGAAATCATATTAATAAAACATACTTAAAGAATAGATGTAATTATAGGTGATTTAAACATCTTATATGTATGTGTGAGGCACTTAATGCTTTGCTTTTAAAGCCTTGACTCAGCTTTTTATTCTTGTCCCCGTGAGATGTCGTATTCTGGAAGTCAATGCACAAGTGTATAATACGATGGACACACACCTGGGTAAATGTAATTTATTCTGACAACATTTTCTTAAAGCAGCTGCTGAATATACTTTATTGGAAAATGCTTCTTAGTTCCCCACTGTGAGGGAAAATGAGTTGAAAGTATATGTAAATCAGCAAAATAGAGAGGTCACCATAGTCTCCAGAAAACATATTATTTTTCAATCAAAAACTTTGTCCAATTCTGATATTTTTGTCTATCCACAAAATGAAATTATGAATAAAATGGGAGCATGTGAATGGATCACCATGATTGGCAGTTGAAATCAAGGCAAAAAGAGCTCCTTAAGAGTTGTGCAAGATGAAAATCAAGCCTGTTGTTTCTTTCTCTGTGTCTAAAGCACTGGGGAGGGCCAAGTGCTCCCAGAGCCAGCTTCATTTTTTTTTCCCCCACAGGCCTGCGTCTAAATTGCACATGAATAGTCAATTAAGGATTGTTTTAGTGGCACTGAAGAATGGAGCCCTGAACACGCAATACCAACCTTACTAAGTTTATCTAAAAATCTAAGAACCACTTTCTTCCAGGTACCTGTGACATAGGGAGAAAATCTACTTTAAAGCTGCTTGTTTTTCCTGGGTAAAAGCTTGTATTCTGGGTATTTGGGACCTCAGCTACAGGTAGATTTCTAAATACGGAGAACGCAGTGGTCCAGTGATGCCCATAAGTCCTTTTTGGGAGGTCTGCGCAACCCCTGTACGATTGCAAGAAAACAAAATCTTGATCCAGATAGTTTCAAGGCAGGCAAACTTGAAGTCAGGAACCCCAGTGGGTCTCTCAGAGCATGATATGTGACTCAGCTGGCTTTGAATGGTCCAGCATCATGTGGTGAGGGACACACTGGACTCCAAAATTGAAAGACATAGGATCCCTGCTCAGATGTACCCAATAGGCAGCTCAGTCTCCATGTGGGTTCCTGAGTAAGGGGAGCAGGGGCTGCCTCTGTCATGAACTCTGTTGCCTGCTCTTTGATCACCTGCCCCTGGCAATACAGCCTTGCCAGGTTATGGAGGAAGAGAATCCAGGCAGTTCTGATGAGACTTGATAAGCTATAGGCAGATGGCAGAGGAGGAGAACTCCCCCTTTCAGTGGACTAGGGGAAGGGGTTGGAAGGGGATGGCAGGAAGAGGGAGGGAGGATGGGCCTGCGAGAAGTTGAGGGAGAGGGCTTCAACTGGGATATATAATGAATGAATTGTGAAAAAATAAAAAAGACGTAGGATCAAATTTCAACTTTGCTACTTACAGCTTTGGCAGCTCTGCCACACCATCTCTTCAAGCCTCATTTTAATAGAGGATAAAGTTGGGATCAACTGTTTTGTATGTGTGTGGAAATATGAACTAATCATATGACAACTTGGTACAAAGGATATGGCTGTAGATCTGGTATTGACATCTCAGAAAAGGTGGTAATTCTTCTCTTCAGAGACTCCGCCCAGCAAAGAAAGGAAGAAAGCAAGAAAGGAAGCAAGAAAGAAAGAAAGAGAGAAAGAAAGAAAGAAAGAAAGAAAGAAAGAAAGAAAGAAAGAAAGAAAGAAAGAAAG